ACACTTGTATTATGCTGCCTCTCTGCCCAATAGACCATTTGCTATTAACAGATTTTAATAGACTATATTTTTTGAACTGTGCTAAGTTAATTCTTTTTTAAGGGGAGGTAAGATACATTATCATGTATTGTTATTATGTATTGTATGGTTTGTTTTAACATGTAAGCCACTTTGATTGCTATTATAGTCAAAAAGCGGGATACAAATAAAAGTTTTATTATTATTTATTATTTTCTTGGCAAGATTTGATCACAGGAGGCATGCTATTGCTTTCTCCTGAGGCTGTAAGCATGTGACTTGCCCAAGGTTGCCCAGTGGGTTTCATGGTCAAGCAGAGAATTGAACTCTGATCCCCAGAGTCATAGTCTAACACTCAAACCACTACACCACATTGGAACTACACTCCAAAAATGTTCTGTTATGTACCATTTACTTTTACAATATGAGGTGGGAGTTAAATTCACGATGATTCATTTTTGTTCACTTTTTTTGTTCTATATATTTTAAAACACTCTCAATAAACACATAGGGAGCTGCTTTATTTTAAGATTTCCCCCAAGGGAAATGGGAGTGTGTCAGTGTTGCAATGACATATGGCTTAACTAAATTAGATAACTAGGAACCTAATGAATCTCTGTTTCAGAGACTTGAGTCTTTATTGCTTGGTATTGTTTTCTTATTCTTTGGAAAGAAAAAATATGACACAAAAGGGCCCAACCCATTTTCTTCAGAATAGAATAGTCTATGGAGTTGCTTTGAAGTAGGTGAATTAAAAAAATAGTATTTTACATAGATTGATTTTGTATTTGTGTATGTTATCTGTCTTTCTTTCTTACATACACACATGCATCTATGCAGAAAATACCCATTACCTTTTTGTATAGAAGTTAACCAAATTTGCAGGATATTTATAATACACTATCACTAAATTGGGATCCCAAATAGGTTTTTATAGCAGCAATGTAACTTTACAATTCCTTGGGGTTTGAGTGTGTATAATCATCATCTTCATCCTCATTGTTGTTATTCCCCCCTAAGGTCTTTGTATTTTTATCCAAGGGCCAATTAGTCAAATTTTTAAATGAAGCCAGGGCATTTCTTTCTAAGTCTCTCTCTCTCTCTTTGTTCAAATGAGGATTTTTTACTGCTTGAAGAAGTATAGCAGATTCTAAAAGAAAAAAAAATTCTCCTGCTGTGCATTGATCAGCTATTGATTGGCAAGAGTTTGAACTAAATTACCTCTGATGAAAGACCTTGAGAAGATGAAGGAACAGAGCAGTGCACAGGGCTATACATATATTTTTTAAAAATGAGCCAACCTTTTGTGGTGGGTTCGAAAGGCTCTGGTCACTCTTGAGGGGGAAAAATGTTAATTGAAAAATTCCTTAAATAGGTAACAGCACTGGCAGTCTGCTTTACATAAAAGGTATGAAATCACAATCAGGCAATGGGAGAGAAAAGGATCCTGCCGTTCAAGTGGGAGTTTTCTCTCTAATGATGCTGATTAATTTCTCATTCATCGGTGACATGGAGTGATGGAAATGAGTCCTTTCAGAAGAAAGGACTAATGACAACTGGACCTGTGGGTGCTTCGGGTGGTGTGGGGGGTTTGAAAGGAGTTTGAATTAATTGGCTCATTGACACAGAACATTAAAACAAAAGGGTTTCCTATTGGGTGGAAAGATTTATTTCAGGTCAAGCAAGAAAGGAATATATGGTCTTAAGCTAAAATCTGGCCATTTTTGTACCAGACATTGAAACTTCCAAAAAATGTATGAAAATCAACTAAAGCTGGAACATCCCTATCACTCTACTTAAGCTACACTGCCAGGTTTATTCAAGATGTTCACAAACAAGCCACAAAATCTCATTCCATCTAATATTTAAAAGAATTGTCTTCTGAAGGCACAGATTTCTAATATTAGGATTACAGAGATACATGTTAAGGGAATCAGTCCAATTTATAGAATTACTGAGTACTCACATGCATAGTTAGCTTCCACAACAGGCCTAGGAATTCAGTACATCACACCTGTATTCTCAGTACTTAGTTTAAAAGCCAAGGTTTTAAACTGCACATATGCCCTGATTTCAATATGTATGTGTTTTCTGGTATATACACCAGAAAGATGCATTCCCTGAGCACCTTTAAATGGGAAGTCTCCTCAGATAGGAGAACTCAGTGCAGGCATAGGGCTTCAAGAGACCTAATAATGTACCAGCACTTAAGTTCCATTAATTCAATGGGTCTATTTGAATTAAATTCAAGCCTCAGTAACCTCACCTATTATCTAATACAAATAGTAATTTTAAAAGCCAGAAAGAGAAAGAGTGAAACTGAAGTCTTTGCAATAAAAATTGAAATATAAATGAAGTATAGTTAGAGCTACAAACATTTAGATGGATTTCCCCCCTCCCTTTTTGGTATAACTAACAATGTTACAGTCATCTTTTCAAAAAGTTGTCAATGGTCATTTTGGGGGGATTTCAGGTCATTTTTAAAATACTTTAATTGGTTTGTAAAAAGAAATAAAAGTAACATATTATCAATGAGTAGCTTTTGCAATCATTTTTATAAGGTCTCGGTATCTTTCCCTGATGCTATGTTTACCATGCACAGAAAGGCATAGATCCTAGGATAAGTGAACAGAAGGGAGATTAAAGATGGAAACTTTCTATTTTCTCTTTTCCTTACAACTTCCTGGAACTCCTTGAAAAGCCTCTTCGGAGAATTGGGGCCTATCTGAAAAAATTAGGATGTGGCATGGGATTGCTGCTGGGAGACAGAGGCATTGCCCCAGATTTGGGGTGGGATCTCTTAATTTAGGGTCCAATGGGGAACTTATCCACAAATTTATATTTATAAGAAATTCAGTGGATTATTGTCTAGGGATATGAAAAATATTTCAAACAACCCAATGTGAAATATCACATTGCGTATAACATATTTCTGTATAGCAACTGTTCCCAGTATTTCTATATTGCATGTGCATCCTATTTCTACATGAACTGTGATGGAAAACTGCAGGAATCCATACACATGGAGTGTTTCTTAGGATTGCCCAGGATATTCATTGGTACTTCAACACCAATCATTCAACTTTCAGAGCAAACAAGAGCAAGCAGTAACTGCTGCCAAAGAGCTAACCCTACAAGGTTAGCTCCTAGTCCTTCCAATCAAAAGACACTCCATCATTTCCTCCTTTAAAACATTTGTTGAAAGAAAGAAAAAATGGAAGTAGTAGTGGGAAAGCAAAGGGAGGTTACAATGTAATACAACATAGGCTTTCACAGCCAGCATCCATGTTTTTTGTGGGGGTTTTGTGCTATGTAGCCGTGTTCTAGTAGATTTTACTCCTGATGTTTTGCCAGGAACGTTCCTGAAATGTCAGGAATAAAATCTTCTAGAACATGGCCACATAGCCCAAAACCCCCACAAAAAAACATCCATAACACAACATAATTTTGATCCCTTACAAACTTTAATGCATGGGGTGAGGTGATTATATAATACAAGCATCATCTGGCAATATCCAAAGAAAATAGCCAAAAGATCTAAAGTTTCTAATCTCAATAACGAATCAAGATTTTCATTTCATTATCATTATTATAATATCATTATGGTTTATATACAACATTTGGTATATTGGGTACCTTTTTATCATATAAATATTGTTGTTGCTATAAATCAACATCATCATTATTAATTACAAATAGCACTTTTCATTACTAAGTTACTGTGTAGTAATGGATGTTGGGAGCAATACTTGTCCAAGAGATCAGAATGATGAAGTTTGGTTCTGAAGCTTAGTTTGTAACATCCCACATATCTGTTAAAATAATTACCAAGACAACTTAAAATCAAGGATAATAGAACTTTATGTTCATGAGTGTGTACTGTAATAAACAATCACAAGAAAGATAAGGATCAAGTACTGTGAATTAACACACTTTCACTACCTAACTGTGTATATTTTGACAAACACAAACTGATTAAAGCTTGAAAAAGTTACTTAATGGTGTCCAGAGTCACCTAAATAGCATACCTAGTGACCATGCTGCCTAGTGGATTCTGGCAGTTGCAATCCAGAGAAGTAATTTTTCCAATCTTTGGTTAAAAACAACATTGGATCAAAAATAGGACCATTGTGAATCTCAGGTGAACAGTTCATGACAGGCTCTAATTTTGTTTGACAGAGTACTTAGAGACAGTATGATGTGGCTCTGGAAATTATTTCTATAAAGGCGTACTAAATCCCTATTGCATCATAGTGGTCTAAAACTGAACATATATGTAAAACTGAAAGGTACAGATCTACAGGAGAATGTATAATGGCACACAAAAATCAAGACAATAATAATCTAAATGAGCAGGTTATCACAACAGTGCCGTAGATAATGTGATCATATTAGCATGAGGCTGTTGAAATTCACTGTTCAGGATCGGCTAGATTAATAAGCACAAATTGAATTAACCAAAACATTCAACATATGTTCCGCTAAACTCTTGTGAATGCAAGAGAACCTCCACCCAAGGTCCCCATGATCTGCTGGGGAAGGCAGCAATGAGGCAGGATTCCAAATGAAAAGGCAAAAAAATGGGGGAGGAAGAAGGGTGTAAGTAAAACACAACATGAAGGTGGTCGATTTAATGCTGCTTTAGTGGCCTGAACTTTCAATTCCCAGAAGGAAAGAATGATTAATACCACTACCACATGTATACCCATATCTGACCCTGATCTCATCAAATCCTCCTGCCACCATCTGCTGGTTTTAATTCCTCTGCAATATTTGTATTTGCTACCTCCCTCCTACAAAGAGAGGGGGAACGGGTGTGGGGAGAGAGAAATGCTTCCCTGCTTATGAATAGTGTGATCTGGTTGTAGTAGCTGAACACTGGCCAGGAGGCATCTGTTGCTTATAGTCCTGACAGCATCTGCTACTATTTCTGACTTTTCCCAGCGCACCGTGAGATATGGTTTCTCCCAAAGGTGGCCTTTGTGTGCACCATTGTCAATTCCATCATTGTCTGCCTCAGCCTGTTCCCACGATGCAGCAGTTGCTACTCACCACACTAGAAAGCCTTTCTGGCTAGCAATCTATAACCTAAAATGTGGTGCAGTGGCAGTTATGCAGTTAACCTTTTCCCTTTTTGTCAAGCCACTTTTTTTAAAAAAAAAAATAATTGATTTTATTTTATTTAGTTTGAAAAGGGAGTTTGCTAGATTGCTTTGCTGAAAAATCTATTTGTTAACAAACGAGAAAATGTAGATGGTTCTCTAATATGAAATTTAATACAGTCTGGCATTACCAAATGTTCTTTTCTCAAAAATCAAATAAAATAACATAGATAGATGAATGAGAAGGATATTTGCCTCAAACCAAGATAACAATAAAG